CGCGGAGCGGTGGAAATTTCCAGCCGTGCTGCGTCACGGGCTTGGACCGGGGCCAGACGGCGGAGGTTGGGAGAGGAGGAACCGTTCGGCCGTGTTGGTGCACAGCCCCATCCCACGGGCCGGGGGCGGACAGGGAAGAACCGGAGAGACAACGCGTTAGGAGGCCACTGGGTCAGCCGGAGGAGCTGCGACTCCGAGGTGCAAAGGCACTGCTAGTTAAAATTCCTGAATTTTATCTCGAAAGCAAAGCTGCCAGGAGCTCAATTCTATCCGGGTAGCTCTGGCAATGCTATCGAAGTTATTTAGTAAAGCTCTTTTCTCATCATTTTATGTGCAAATGTTAAGAGTGCCCCCCTTACACTGAGCAACGCCCTTCCCTCTGAGAGAAGGCTTCTCCTAAATGGTCATTTGGGAACAAATATTAAAGACGTGCTCCTGTTTTTCAGTTGTACCTTTCTGGTGAAAAATGAATCAATCTCAGAAACGGCACTCCAGTAACTCACATCACATTGCTAGAAGCAAGACAGAACTTTTGAGTCCAAGTTTAAAATTACTTCAGCTTCTAAAGGCAGCCAATTTAGCCACATAATTACACTTACGACCACCAACAATCTACAGCCTTGAAAAATCTGAAGAGTCATCAGGTGCATCTCAATTTCCCAATTAAGTTTCCAAAGCACGTTTTCAACTAGTATGATTTGCAAACACCTGTCTGGGCTTCACTAACAAGTCTGGTTGGTGCCATCTCAAGTGAGGAAGAGGCTATTTGTTCTTTGCATCACTGTTGAAGACCCCAGCCTGTCTATTATTCACAAGCTACAAGTTTTCTCATAAAACCTTTATACTGAAAAAGGTGTAAAAGAAAAAACAACCTTTCCATGCATTTTCAGGCAACTGACCTGGAAACGTGGAAATTAATATCTCCTTTTTCAAAGATAAATAACCATCTACTTCCTAGGCTTCAACACTGATGGCACAGGCAAGGGGAATGTTGCAAAGCTAATTAAAGACTCACTCCCCATTGCTAACAGCAGTTTTAAACCCAAGCGTGGTGGCATTTCAGGACTCCAGCTGAAGTTCTCACAGCAAGAGCGAACGATCATGAAAGTACTGCCCACTGACAAAACTCCACAGAAACTGCAGAAACACATGATTAACAGGCAGATTAGGCTGTGGTTAAGAACATCACAAGCTGAGCCTCAGAGGAAAACAACCACCAAGAGCTCAGCACAGACTAGTAAAGATCTGAAGCGTAGGAGTAAAGTCTGAGTTGGGTTCAAAACACCCTAGACAGAACCTTGCAGATTCAACCTTGAATACATCAAGCTGTAGTTAAGCATTACTAAACGTGCAACCAATTGTTGTTACTGATAAACAAGTGAGAGGAAGAAACTTAAAAAGTATTAACTGGAATTTTAATGTACTGTACTTAAAGGCATCAAGTACTTTAACCCTGGGATGAAGGATTATTCCAGCTCTGCTCCTAGTCAAGAAACGCTGTTGCATGGGTGGTACTTTGAGATTATAGTTCTTTGCATGTACTACAAGTCTTGAAAGATAAAAACCCATGAAGCATGTTCATGGATCAACAGCCCACTTCCCTCCCCCCACTTCCATAAAGAAATCACTGCTCAATGCCGGTTTAAGTATAATTTTAACTTTTAATACTAAGATCTTCCCATTTCTCTGAAGCTCATAGTAAGCCTGCATGCTACCTCACAAGGCCTGACAGCTGCAGATACATCACACTCAAGCCTGGTCTGCACATACGCTCCTGTGAAGGCGACAGTTACAGTGCTGCAAAAAGCTCCCTACCCTCCTGGCAGCTCTCCACTGCAGTTTCGGTTAGCGAGACTTTTAGCTATACCTTTACTCCAGTGGATCTTCTCCAAAAACTGGCCCTACACTCGTGAGACGAGGAAGACTACTGTTTCCAACAGTTATTAGAAGCCAGCTTTAGTTTTCTTCCCCATCAAAGCAGAGCCTGCCATGCTAAGCAATCTAGCCCAATCAAGGCAAGGCTGATTTTTGTATAAGCTTAAAATGTTTAATCAGACACAGTTGAGAAACCTTTCTAGAATTTAATATAAAAACATTTGACATTCCATTAATGTAAAGTTGTGCACATGTTGAGAAAATTGCCATCTGAAAGAAAATCCGGTCTTCAAATATCTTTATTGGAAGGCCATGCACTGCCTTCTGTTACTGTATTTCAAATCACTGTACATTTACTTTGAAAACACTGTCTGCATTTTCTAGTACAAAAAACTAAAAATTGTTTCAGGAATGTAGAGAAATATTCAACTTAAATAGCGAAAAGTGCACCATAATTACTGCTGCACTGCAGTCATTTCTGCATTTCCCATTTCTTAAATAACTATCCTGTTTTGATAACACACAATATAAAGAGCAATTATGAAAAACTGAGACATTTAAATACACTAAGTTATTGAGAATAACTTGTCGGCATTGGGTAACCTATCATAGGAGCAGCACCAGTGGCAGGATACGCATACTGCTGTTGGTTCATGCCATTGTGCATATTTGCAATGTTACTTCCATACTGCTGCTCATAGCCATTCTGGAAAGCTCCAGCAGGGTTACCAGCCCTGAAGCCAGCTTGCATGCCTGCAGCTGCAAAGCCATTTCCAAATGGAGTTCCATTACTGAAACTTTGGGCACTGTAAGCCCCATTTTGAGTTTTTGCTCCAAAGTCTCTCTTTCCTAGTGCACCATAGTTTCTCTCAAAGTTCTCCCTCTCTCTAAAACTACTAAATCCACCCCTTTTGCCCGCAGAGTATCTGTCACGTCGATCACCTCTGGAACGACCTATTAAAAAAGACAAGACATAGTTATATATATAAAAAAATCATAAAGGCTGTGTTTTACATACCACCAATTGAGTTCAGCTAGTAAGAGAGAGAATTTCTGCCCCAGCCAAGGCAAACCTACTATAAAAGCTTTCCAGTTGCTCACTGGACTCTATTTAGATGAAGACTCTCTTGCTAGA